AAAAAAAAAAAACAAGGTGAAATTACCTCAACTGGTTAATCAACAATTGAAGAAGAGGGATTTGAAAGAGCAGAGAGAGATTGAACAGAATTTGATTGTTTAACTCGCTTTTTTGTCCTCTTCTTCCTCTCTCTCTCTCTCTCTCTCTCTCTCTCTCTCTCTAGCTCTGTTTGCAGAAGGCAATGCCAATGAGTAGGTTTTGGAAAGTAGGAATAAGTGATGTGCTATTTATATAGTGAGCAAAAAAGCGTGTGATGGGAATTGGGTATATATATATATATAATATATATATCATGTATCTGGACAAAGGGATGTCATGTGCATAATAAATGCATCCATATACATGTTGTAGAAATTAAATGTTAAATATAGTATAAATATGATTACTATATTTGTATCAATAATGCTAAAGACCCAACAGTTGGCTCCGTTACGGAGCCAACAGTTGGCTCCGTTACGGAGCCAACAACCAATGAGACAACTCCAGGTGAGGCTGTCCCACAATACTTTAGTGTGGGACAGCCTCACATGGAGTTGTCCAATTGGTTGTTGGCTCCATAACGGAGCCAACTGTTGGCTTCTTAGCATTACTGATATTTGTATTTTATGTGGTTTCATGGGATTTTTTTTTTTTTTTTTTTGTTTTATCACACTAGCTAATCATATTTTTCAATAAATATATAATGCCTTTTACATTAAAATGTCTAGGTTCAAAAATATAACATTCCAAACATATATTTTTGTTACAATGTATGATGAATCGACTCGCGCCAACAGTCTTACACGATAATTCATGTCTATCAAATGGTTGTCGTCCTTTCATGTCAATTTTGGGTACAAGAAAGTATGAGTAACAACTTATATGATAGAAAAATTAAGAAAATGTATTCATTTCGTATTCTTAGAAACTTATATGATTGAAAAATTAAGAAGATGTATTCATTTCGTATAGCCAAAAGCTTTTTTTTGAGATGTTACAAATCTTGTTGTATTTAAAAGTTTTTATGTACGTATTTCAGATTTTTTTAAAAGTTTAAAAACAGTCGAATATATATATATATATATATATAATTAGAACAAAACAGAACTAAACCAATCTCATAATTCTTCGCAGTTCGCACTCAAGACAAAACTAACAACATTCGAAAAAAGTTTGGTGATCAAAACGAAAAGTGAATCGATTGAAAAGACAACAATACATATGATCCAAGCAATGGGCACAAACACACACACACACTGGAAAAAAACTAACAAAATCTAATTCCATCATGTTTTATAATTAAGGTCTTTTATGTCAAAAAAACAACATGATCAATGTTATTTACTACATTATTCATTTTATTTAATTTTTGTAAATCCTCTATTTAAATAATATTCATTTGTAAGTCAACAAGTGTGTGATGAATTAAAATTTAGATATTGCAAGTTTTAAATTAATTTGTTGACTCAATTATAGTACAAGCACTTGACAATAGTTTCCAAATATATGCATGTAAAGCATGAAAATGTTGAAGATCCATATATAATATACATGTCCGTGGAGGAATACTCACCTACCCACGGTGGGCACATGTTAATATGTCCACCGCGTAGGTGGCATGCACTCATTGGTGATGTAAATATGTTTAAAAAAATACATCACCATGAATGCATGTCACCTACGCGGTGGACATATTAACATTTGCCCACTGTAAATAAGGGAGCATTTCTCGGTGTTGAAATATGCATTAAATTTTGGAAATATGTCCAGATTCATTGAACTGCAAATAGTGCACGTGAAGTAAAATCGCCATCGTACCTTGTTGAGAATCTTGGATATTTGGGACCAGTTAATGACACAGCTTGCTACGTGAAAACTGTACCTTTTGCTAGTTCTTAGATCTCGTCCATTGAATCTGGACATAATCCATCTACTCTGTTTTTTAATTGGTTAATTAAACTAATTAATTGATTATACGATCATACTCTTTGTTCATAAATTGATCAATTGAGAGTGATTCCCTCTAGGTTACAATTAGACGTGGCCATTTCTTAGTTTCGGACAGTGTTTTGGAGAGCTCTGAACCGACCCGATAATACATATATAGCCGGTTTAATGAACCGGCGGTTATGAGTCGGGTCATGAAACGTCGGTTTCATCAGGCCGTACTGGTTTATTAAAAAATAAATAAAAAAAACAAAAAAGTTGAACTGTCGATTCCGTTTTGTATAAATGATTGAACCTGAACAAGTCTGGGTAAAACCAAAAGCAGGTTCAATGCCCGTTGATCATGGGCTTGATCGGGCCAGTTCCAAACTGATGTGGTCGTCAGTAGGGGTTCATGAAGGACCGATCGTGATCCGGTCGTCACCGTCGTATGGAGGAGGACCAGCTAGGCACCTTGCAGTTAGGCAGATGGGTACCTCGGCCAGAAGGTACACCACCAAGGGTACCATTGAGGATACCACCAAGGGGATCACTTTGGCACTTAGGTAGCCCGACCAGAGGGTACCACCATGGGAACCACCTCGGCATCAAGATAGCTCGGACAGAGGGTTCCGTCGAGCAAACTTGAGAGTGGCTTTGTGATCAAGTTACGAAGAAGTTGATAGCAATAAGGATTCTAGAGAAGATAGAGATAAACATCAAAAAGACTTCTTGTCTCATGAGGAGTCTTCAAACTTCTCATATAAAAGGAGCAGGTTCATTCATTTACACAACACACACATACGAATTATCTCGTTACTCTGCCATTTTCTTTTTTAACCACCACTGACCTTAGCGTCGGAGTGTTCGTGCTGACGATCAAGAAGGACGCAACTCGGTTTGAGAGGAGCGCGGTCCAGCGGTTCAAATATTTGTGGTACGACACAAACCATTTGGGTGGGCTGGTTCGGCATGTGACCGGGATTAAGTTTTGTGTTTCCAATACGATTCTTTGATTAGATCATTTAAATTTCCAATATGATGATAAAATGTTACTACTATTTCATTTCATGTAATAGCGTGAATTAAATACCAAACTATAAATACTTTGATATATAAAAATAAAGCTAAAAAATTATGGTAATTAATTATTTTGGGTTGGAGGGAGGGAATACTACTGTCAACTAAATTATGACCGTCTGATGTGTTATTATTTTTTTTTTTTTGTACATGTACCTTCCAATTTCTGGATCCACAGGAGAACCGACTAATTCGGAATCGAGTCGGGTAGGACCACAAAGGTGGCAAAGCTCTCCCTCAAGAGTTTTAACACTGCTGCATTCTCAGGACTCGAACTCGAGACCACTGGTTAAATTGAAAGAGACTCAAGCCATCTCATCCAAGCACTCTTGGGTCGTCTGATGTGTTATTTAATTGGCAACAAAGTAGTTTATTAAATTTTGTCCTTTTTAGGCACGCCGTGTTGACTGAAATATGGCGTGAATCTCACAAGCTTCAAAGTGTTTTACAATAAAAAATGGAAGTAAGAAAATGTGGGCGCCTCAACCAAGGGTGCATGTGCATATGCAACTGCAAGCATAGTATCCATAAAGCACATATTCATTTCACATATTATTATTTAGGAAAATTCTTACTAAACTATTCTGTCGGGATTTGTAATCGTTAGATTAACTATTCTTGACGAAACATTGACGGAATTGTTCCGTAACAAGACTGTCACATCTCTCTATTATTAAATAAATAAGTAAAAAATGACAAGCATACTCATTTTTTTCATTTCTTTACGAAAGATTTGTTCAACTTTTATTGAAATTGATATGTGAGTTAACATAATTTGATTCAATTCGTGAAAAATCGGTATTCAATCTGTTTGTAAATTTAAATGAGATAAACTCAACAACTAATCGACTTTGTATATATATCAGACAAGTCGAGCCGTGCATGCATGTTCGCTATATATCAACTCAGTGCAAGTGTTGGGTTTTGGATTGAATTATAGGATTTATTAAATGAGTTGAACCAAGTTTATACGAGCCGAATTCAAGCTCACGTTTTTGTTTGTCTATTAACAAATTAAGCCACGCCATGTTGTTTTATTAAGTGAACACGAATTCGACCATGAGAATTTATCTCTAATAATCTTGCTAGACGCATATATAGAGAAGTTATATCATAAAAATAATTTTTAAATATTTAAATCTAATTACGTGAATCGCACAAAATAAAAGAAAACGCGAATGTTGCATTTGTAAAATAAAATACCAATTATATACTTTTTGATCGTGTTTTATATAATTAAAACTACCCTCATTTAACATTAACTTGTGAATTTTTAACCACTCTCTCATATATCTGCAAATGATCATTTTTAATTAAATTTTAGTTTTTTTGTTTAAAAAGTACAATAAAAAACAATTCTCATGTATTGGTTTTCAATTAAAAAAACAATACAATTCAATAAAATTGTGGTGAGGCTGTCTAATAGTCCCTTCATTCTTGCTATATGAATTGTCATTTAGTCATTTAGTGGGTGTATTCATTTGAAATTTCTAAAACTTTTTAATATTTTAGAAATCTTATTAGTGTATTTAAATTAGACTTTTAAAGATCTTTAAAAGTTTTTGGTATTTATTTGAGATTTTATAAAAGTCTGATAAATTAAAAGATATTTAACTTATTCGAGACTAAGTTGCGTGAGGACTTTTTAAAATTTGATGAGATTATTATAGGAAAAATATAGGAATTGCACTCAAAATATAACTTCCATACTTAAGATTTCATATAATTACTACTAATTTTAAAATAAATCTCAAATCTAGAAAATAAAAATATCAAAATGTAGTTAAATTACTATAGCATTTTTAATAAACTAGTACAGAGCCCGTGCGATGCACGGGGTGCACAATTTTAAGGTTATTTATCCAACCTTATAATTATA